TCACTCTTGCGGAAACTCCAAAGTTGGGGGCTGACCTCCCAACCTTGGCCCTCCTGGGGCCCTGGGGCCAAAGCGCAGCGGCCTGAGCAGAGACCAGAGGGCGGGCAACCCGGCTGCTGCCCAGCTTCTGCCCCGCGCCTGGCCCAGCCGCCCCCAGGGGAGCCCAACTCCCAGCTGGGAGGACCCGGGTTTGGTCCCTAATCCATAGGTTCCAGACACCAGGGAGATGCTCTCCGCCGGAGGTACCTGCGGTCCTGCTGAGAAGGACACGAGACACTTGTCTTTCCCTCGGTTACCTGCGAAATTGGCTACTAACAGCGTTTCTCCCTTTCCGTGGTTTGATGGCGGCATTTCCTGGTCCTACCCGCCCCCCGCCCCCGACCCCGCTGGAGAGGTGACCAGAGGGGAGGCGGCGGTGCAGGTGCGACCCCAAGCCCTGCGGAGGTTGGGGGTGGGGGCGCGAAGTGAGGCCCTGGAGTCCCCGCCAACTCTATCTGTACGTTTAAGTCCGCAAGGCGAGGGCACCCTCAGCCAGGATTCAGAGAGATTTTTAAAAGAGGAGCATTGAAGGGGTTTGGGGGGACTTGGCCTAGGAACTTGCCCTCAGGCCGTTCTAGGGGTGCGCTGAGGCATTGACTAAAGACAGACGCGTTGGGGGAAAGTTAGGATTTTTAAAAGTGAGAGAAAGGGTGAAAGGGAACGCAGTCCCTTTGGGACTGGAACTTCCCACGTGCTTTTCCCCCTCGGAGAGCCAGCCGGTCCAGAGAAGCCAGCAGTTCCGACTCCGGCTCAGGCGCTGGTCCTTACCCCACCCCGTCTCAGGCCCCCCACATGGGTTACAGCCACTGCTGCCCGGAGACCCGCAGGCCGGGGCCCCCAGGAGCACACGGAGGCTTCACACCTCCCTCCCCGCACCTCCCGTCCATCCTCCATCTCATCCCTCTTTCTCTCCGGAAACAGAAAAGGGAAGAAAACCCAAAAGCCCCTTGGCCTCCAGTTCTAGGGGCGCGCGGGGCGGGGGGTGGGGGGGACACAGGCGCCCGCGTGGGGAGAAACACACACGTAGGACTACTGCGCACACGGAGCGCGCCTCCGGGGGGTCCGCGGCCTGTGATGACACAGGAACACCCAGGGCAGGGTGTCCCGGGATCACAGGTATTCACTGCGTCCCCACGGTTCCTTGCCCTTTTGGCTGCAGCCGTCCAGCCTGGCGCCGGACTCTGTCCATACCTTTGGGGACCCCTGGACCTGCTGGGGTTGGACCCCAGCAACTAATGAGGGGGCCGAGGGCCCACCAGGGATTGGGGTCTTTCCCCGGCAGGGAACCGAGCCCTGGGGACCTGATGGGGGAAGGGGTGCCCCGTCTCTGGGCGCCTCTACAGAAAAGGTGGCCCAGGCTGAGCTCTTTGGGAGACTCCGCTGCTCACCCCCAGACTCTGCTCGGACGCGCATCCCTGCAGGGTCCCCGCTTTTGCTACGGAATTTGGGGAAGGGAGGTTATGCGCCTTCAGTCCTCAGGTATGGGGAACCCCATCCTGACCCCACACCGCTCACCCCCATCCCGGGACGCCACCCCACCCCCTGGCACCCCAGGTCAGCACCGCCCAGCAGAGCCGGCGAAACTCGCTCTGTGCCAACAACTCCGGGCCTCAGCGCCCGCGTAGACTCGGAGGGAGATTGGCGGCCGGCTGGAGAAATTGAGCCTGGCGCCGGCCCCCCAGACGCCTGAAGAGAGAGAAGGGGGAGGAGGGTCCCAGACCTCGGCTTCCCGAGTCCCCCTGGGGGTCCGCTCGCACCTCCAGGTCTCCGCTCCTCCCGGCAGACCTCGCGGCGCTGGCCCAGGTGCCTGGGCGAACGCGCGTCCTTGCTACGTGGGAAGTGCAGCGGCTTGCTTTTCCCTTTCCTGAGCAGCGCCCATTCCCTTCCTCGGCCCGACCAGACCGCGGGTCCCAACAGAGTTTAGCTCTTGGCAGAAGGCTCCGGCTAACACTGGGCCAAGGGCCTCAGTTTCCCCATCTGCAGCCTCAACTCTGGGGAATGGGTTCCTACCCCCACCCCCGCCGTCTTCCGGGGCCGGGAAGAAAAGTCAGAGGTGACTGACAAGGGAAAGTCACACCGGAGCGCATCGAGCCCCTGAACGGGGGTGGGGGAGTTGGCACCCAGGCCCCTGAAGACAGTCAGGGCTGCCTCACTGGCTAATCGATGGTCTCCACGTGTCCCACTCGGCCTGGCCCTAGCACGCCTAGCAGAAGGGAAGGCCTGGCACCTGGGAGGCGGGTGGGGGTGGGGGGACCTTTCCCGTGGTCTGGGTCTCCACGTTCTGTGCAGAATAGAAACGTCAGGCACCGGGAGCGCGCTTTTTACCGGCCGGGTCCTTTATAGACACGCACCTCCCAGCTCCCCTAACTGGGCTGCCCGGAGGTGGATCCTCACGGGAGGGCATACCGTGTCGGAATTTCTGCAGATAAATCTCAGCGATAGAGCCGTCCTGATGGAGTGGGACACACACCCTCCGCCACCGCCATCCAAGTTTTCCTGCAGTTTCTGCGAGTTGAGACCGTTTCTGGGCTTTTGGCGCCCCCTCTGGATGCAGCTGAAAAGTGCAGCCCGGTTTTTTAAGTCAACTGATCGCTTATCATGTTTTCCAAAAAGATACAAGAATACAAAATGCTCGTATCAAACGAACAGAAAATGTATACAGTACTATAGCTTGCTATTTAAAGTGCTGCCTATTTTATGTCCTATTATAAAAGTGTATTAAAATAGACTTGCATGTGTACCTATTTTTCTTGACCAGTATTTAGTGAAATGTTCTAAACTATCTTCAAGTCGAGGTCGTCCTCAGTGCCTTTTATGCCAGTAAACATGAGAATGACAACAAAATGCAACTAAAGACAGCCGCCTTGGCTAAAACTTCTGCCCCAAGTTCTGGTGTCTGGGCCTCCTTCTGGGTCAGTTGTCTACGAATCACAGTCAGACTCAGAAAGTCCCCTCCCCAGGACCCAGAAATCAGTCCATACTACCTACGCGGGACTTTTCCCCCCAAAAACAAGGACAAAGTTGTTCTTCTCTCCCGGCATATTAGGAAGCATGAATACAAGACTATTGTATGGAGATCGCTTAACCTCCTGTTAAACTCTAAGATAACCAAGACACCCGCTGTGAGTAACATTTGATTACAAAGTAAAATACTACGTAACAGCGTTGCCACTTACTGCTTTCTGAAGAGTCCCGTTTCCTATAAGAAATGTCCAGTTCTTTGGAAGAAAACAAGATATTTGAAAGTTCCTCACGGAAAAACAGTCTTTAAAATCAGAGTGCCCGCAATTTGCAAATTAGAAATAAACAAGTCTTTGGTATGATTCCGGCCAGCCGAGTCACAAGAACCATCATTTAAATCGAGGTGAATATTTGCCAGAGCCAAGAAGGGTGTGGGGGAGGGGGGAGAGGGGGAAGAGTTGAAAATTAAGAGTTTTGCTCAGTTGTGCGTTTAGTTATGAATCTGGAAAGAAGTAACCCTCGGGCGACTAAAGTTTTTCTTCTCCTCCAGAAAAGATACCCAAACAGACTCTAAGCATGCGTGTAAACACAAAGATTGTGCTCAAATCACACTGGAAATACATCAGACACCCTCACCCCTCCACCGAACTCCCTACAATCTGCGAGTCACAAAAGGACCCGACTATAAAGAGAGGTGGACAGCCCCCCACCCCGCTTCCAGGTGATTGTGAAAGGGCGAAAGCAGGCAGGCAGCGCGACCGCCAGAGTGGCCTATTTCTCTGCCGCGGGACCCGTTTGTTTGGCCTTTTACAAACCGAGTGACTGGCCTCAGCCTCGCGGCCCGGGGCGGCCGCGTTCGCACAGCTCCACGGTCGCTCAGAGCCAGTTTGCACGCTCTTTCCAGGCAACTCGGCTGGCGTTTTGACTCGGCCGGGAGGTGAAGAGCAGACCATCAAAACAGTTGCCCTGTCACTGAGGCGCTCTGGCGGGGTAGGGGCTTGGAGGAGGGGAGGCTGGGGGGCTGGAGAAGGAATTGTCGGAGTTCAAGGTCGGCGTGGCGCGAGTGCGGCTCTGCGAGTGAGCGAGCGAGCGAGCGAGCGCGGGGCTACGCAGCCGCCTGCAGCCAGACTCGCCTTCGCCGGGAGTTAGCTTTGGGTTTCATTGATTCCCTTTGCAAAGGCGCAGCCGGATCCCGACCAGCCTCGCCAGCCCCAGCGAACCAGAGCACGTTCACCTATTTATATGGATTATTACGGAGGAACAGCGGGCGCTGAGTCACCAAAACATTTGTTGCAAAAGACCATTCCTAAGGACTTTCGGCACAGGCAGGCTCCCGACGCAACCGGGCTGCGCCTTATGGAGAGACTGCCTCTCAAATACTGTAAACTCCCCGGTCTGTCCCCGGGACCGTGGAGAAAGCTCGGAGGAGAAACGCTTTGGGGATGGGGGTAGATCCTACGCTAGACAAGCGGGCGCGCGCGCACACACACACACACACAGACACACACGCACACACACACGGAGATTCGCGCGGAGACGCACCAAAATTCTGACATTGCGAGAGAGTACGGCAAACTTACACACTTGGACGTCCCGGGTCCCCCGCCTTTCCAGCAGCACCCCCCCACCCCACCAATCAGCTGCCTGCCAGCCCTTGATTGGCTGGACGTGTCTAAGGTGAGGGGGGAGTATTTATTAAAGAGCAGCCCGGCTGGAAGTCGGAGAGCGGAGAGCAGAGCTTGAAATTCACTGGGAACTTCAGTGGCGCCAGGACTTGCCAGTTTCACCCCGGGAACTTTTCTTTGCAGGAGGAGAGGAGAAGGGGTGCAGTCGCCCCCGCTTTAGCTCTTTCTTCCCCTTTTCCTCCTCCTCCTCCTCTCCAATTCGCCTTCCCCCACTTGAAGCAGGCAGCTGCGGGCCGGCCACCCCGCGCCTTCCCAAGTGC